CTTTCAGATAAGGGCGCTGCTTGGGTGGTCTAGCGCGATCACCTAACCCATGGTCTCTCGCCTATAACACATAAATATGGGGCTCTGTACGATCGACGGTGTAGAGACAAACTTCGAGGGTCTTTATTTCGGATGATTCTTTTCTCTCTCTAAAATCAACGTCTTTTTTTTCGTATATTCCATGAATCCACAGTAATATTCTTCCGTTTTTTGTTAGAAATTAACCGGAGAATTGAGTTTCTGCCCTTTTCTACGATTTCCTTCTATTACATACATATCCTTCGCGGATTGTTCTTTCCCTAATTTTGAAAATCCACGCCAAATCCCCAACCAAGGCTGAGAATCTTTCTGATCGGGGAGGATCCAAATTAGGTCTTCTAAATGTTTAAAAAATGATATATATTATATATATAATATACTACTATAATGAGAATGTATAGAATGAGACCATTTATATTTGATACAAAGTGGTCACAATAATCTTAGCCATTAGATGTGAGGTTGGGTAGTTGTAATTATTTCGTTGACCAAGCTCAAACTTCAAAAGAAAATCTCTTAAACTTCGTGATACATTTAAGTTATTAAATTTCACATCAAATGGTTGTAAAGAATTATTACTACTTTATACAAAAGGTAAATTGTATCATCTCATTGTATGTAATCCATTTAAAAATTGGGTCAAATCTGAATTGCATCCACCTGTACCTTGATTAGATCTAAATTACTGTTTCGATCTAAATTTTGGATCCGAATCCAAATAGAATCAAAAATTCGGATTTACATTCAATTTTTCTCAGCTCCAATCTTTCCCTGTACATAGGGTTTCAGAAAAGTGGGGGAGTTCGCGAAGGAAGCCTTCCTCAAGGGCAAGGAACACCTCCTCAAAACCATCAAACGAAGAAAACCCCCTCTTCCCTCTCACCAGACCACCGCGACCTCAACCCAACAAGTGGATGCACAAGGGCTCGACACTGAGCTCGAGCGCCTGCGCCAAGGCAGAGAACTCATGACCCTTGAGCTCGTCCACCTTCGCCGACAGCTGCACGCTTCTCGAGCCCACCTCAACGACTCCACCACACCGAGGACCGCCACCGCCAAATGACTTCCTTCTTGGCCCGAGCCATGCGCAACCCCACTTTTGTAAACAACCTCGCGACCAGAACCGATGGCACCCCTCTCCTTTGGGAAGACGCGACAAAGAAGAGGAAGGAGCTGGCTGCGTCCAGCTCGGGTGAGTCGAGCCAGGGCTCGTATAGGTTCGATGCTACTGAGAGAGGGAGGCCTGGGCTCGACCCTAGGGAGCCCGAGTCTGAGCCCAGGGATGACCCTGATGTGACCACGCTGGCTGAGAAGTTAGGGTTCCTTGGTTCAGCACACCAGCCATGAAACCAAACGTGTCGGCTGTGTCGGATCATACGTGTGGGATACGTGTTGATATGGATCACACTTGTAAAGACCAAACGTGTCGGATCATACGTGTTGATATGGAAAGTCTAACGAATAGATGTATCCAGGCATTAGATTTAGGAAAAGAGGGTAGCTAATGTGCAAGATCACAGCTCTCACAAATATTTTAATTTAATTATTCAGCATTTCTAACCAGCTTAAACAAAATTTTGGGTATTCAAGCAAATTGTGAAGGTTCCTTAGTAATTGCGTGCCTGACCAACACATATGACTGTTTGGATTCGTGTTTCTGTTTACCAGTGAATTAGAGCAAGGGTAGACTATTTAAAATGTAAATTTCATTGCTGAATTTCCATGGAAGAAGGACCGAAATAGCTTTTCACCGTGATTATGGCAATGGCACATGATCTTTCATTGTGGTTTATGCAACCTAATCCCAACACCATTATTTTCTCACGTCTTGTGATTGTGAAATGTGTTGTCCTTCTACTCTTGAGCTTTTGCTATATTTATCTGAGAAAGAGATATTTTTTTGAATCTTGAAAATCTCTCCCATATTTTAGGTGAAGACTTGTTTGGATGTGATCGTTAGTCGACGACCCATCAATTTTAGTCGAAAGACAATTTACTTTGGGCTATGTAGACCCTAGAATGCTCTCAAGAAAGTACAACTCTAACAGTTCTTTAATGAGTGCTTCACTCAGCCCAGTTCTATCATGAGAGTACATTCATCCTTGAATGGATTACATTATAGAGAGATTTATTTGTTAAGATATCTAATACTTCGAAGACAGTGGAAGCATCTCACGACTTTGGATCCATTTATCTGCAGTTGAAAGTATTTCATAACTACCATGTGGGTTTCTGTTTTCACATAAGGATTCTAGGAGGCCCTCTTGCTCACACTATTATAGTAACTTCGGTCATAAATGGCAATTGACTCCTATTGTTTTCACTAGACTCCACTTCTATCCTCGACTTGTCCGTATAAAAACTCGATTTTCGACCTCTGTTAGGGGCTAAAGCTTATGGGCCAACTGAAATTCATAGTTCTGACCAACATAAAGTTCACACATGTTTCACCTACTGTTGTAATTGGTTTTTATTTTTATAATTTCTAGATTTTAGATTTGAGGTTATTTTGGGTTCTTAATTTTTTTTAAGGGGTATTTATGTATTTTTCTTTTAGTTATAGATAATTGAGAGTAGAATCAGAACTTTATTTATTAAAAAAAGAAGAAAAGTGGGGATTTAATTAGGGTTTCTTATGAAGTAAGTTAGGTTTTAAGTTTTTTTTTTATATATATAGATATGTAACTCTTGCATCAAGAAATAGAACGAAGAGAATAAGACTTTGTTTAAGGTCTTGTGAAGAGTTTTTTTTGAGGTGGTATCTTTTATAGGTTTTGAGAGAGGGTATAACCGCTCTTCCTTTTAATTTTATTTTCTGTTGTTTATTTTTTTAGGATTATACACAATGAAACTATTTGCCTTTGGTATAACCATCCGATGTAAAATCTAATAGCTTAGGTATGTCACAAAGTTCAAGAAAAGTTTTTTGAATAGTCTCGTTGCTCCTTCCCCTACCTCAATTCGTATAAGAGCTTTACAAGATGTGTCCATCATAATTCCACCGAAATCCATTCCTACGATCATTGATCTATTGCCACAGATTATAGAAGATGTGAAACAACATTTTGACGAAAGTGTAAATAAACATAAATCAATCCATGGACGGTATTGAGGTGAGATTTTTGGAACTTGACACGAGATTTGTGGAACTTCACTCAAGATTTGTGGAACTTGAGACAAGATCGGCGTAATAAATTTGCAAATGCGATAGTTGGAAAACATCGTTCATCAAAAAGAGGGTGCTCACAATCATATAGATGTACCACCAAATCCCACCTTGGGGATCGATCACACTCCACACTATCAATTCCAATAGTTGATCTTATATGTACTAAGAAAATTTTGATTCGAAAACTGAGAAATTTTCGCATGATATCTATATCAAAGTCGATCTTCTCTAGTAAGAAGCTCAAAAATAAAATCAAATATATGCTTGGCATCCCAACGTTGCACTATATATTGCGCATTTAGTTTTTAATAAATTGGTTCATTGAAGAATAAAGTACCATGACAAGTAGTGGGACGACAAAAGCTATTCAATATGCTTTTGAAGGATGCGATAAACATAATAAATTCAAGGTCGAGCTACTCACAACCTTAGGAGAAAGAATGAAGTGACCGGTTTTGTTTTATTTTATTTTACTATTTGCTAGATTTTCAATTTGATTTATTTTGTGTCAGTGTAAGAGTTTTTGACACCAATACATATTTCCACGGAGTGTGGAAGTGTCCATTTGAATGTTCGGAGTGGGAGGTCTATATAAACCGCATCCATATATACATCAATTTATTCTCTTCAGTGCATGTAGACTAAAGTGCTCCAACCCACTCTACTTTTCCATCCTTCTCCCTCTTTATTAATTTTTCATTTTCATCTTTATACCGCAATCCAATGCTAATTCAATAGCCTCGAGAAAACCAGTTCCCAATGCTCATCTAAAGTTTCATGAAGCTAGAACCCACGCCCAGTTAACACTATCAATGTGTATGTGTTAGATCACAGGAAGCCAACTTATACGTCCATGTCGGATCACTGAATTGCTAATCCAAATCAATCCAAATTAACGGTATAGAGAAAATTAAAATTAATAATAATAAAAAAAAAAACATGGGTGAGTGGGCAGACCAAAACGATGTTAGACTAGTTAAAAAAACTGATTCTCAGTTTACAAGGATACGTTTGTTATCCATGAAAATCTTTTCGTGAAAGTATCTTTCACATGAAAAGAGCTCCTCCATATAATTAATTGTTGTGAGTTTTTCACTACCAATTAGTAAAAAAAATGCTCTAGGGCCAATTAGGTGTGAAAAAACTTTCACACGTAATCACAAGCTAAGTTCTTTAATGTAAAAATACTCATGCATCGCTTAAAAATCTTTTTTTATAAAAATACTTTCACAAAAATAAATATTTTCATGCGAGCCAAAAATGACGTAGATACAAGCGTTTGTTTAGATGGAAATGAATAGCATCGATACTGTCGGTCCACTGTTGCGGAACCCACGTTAAATGTGGGGTGCATGAACCTCCTTATTGCTGTCGCAGCAACTTGTGAGTTTTTTATTCGTCGTCTCTCATGGCATGGTGGGTTTCTTGGTGTCACGCTTACTTCATCCTCAGCACCATAATACTTGGATCCTTTGCTTTTTACTTTACTATTATTTATTATCAATAACGTATTCTTACTCGATCTAGGGCATTTAATTATTGGAAGTAAATTATTTTTGTTTGAGATTTTTTGTGAGAAGAATTAAATAATTTGGGGGTGGATCTTTCTAGAGAGTTCATCGGTCTTCAGCCGCAACTTCAATTCCTATAAAAAAGAGAGACAAATACTCTATTATTAAAAAACCATAAAGAGCCACACACACACATAAACAAAACAAAGGCAAGTTATTTATCAACGAAAACAAACAGGGGTTTAAGAATAACACCAAAGTGGCACTGCCTCTTTTGCAGATCGATCTCAGCCCACCTGCCAAAGCAAACACCAAAACCAAGATCATTTAGTGGAGAAGTGGAATGGGTAGATTGGACGGTGGAGATCACATCAAACCAGTGTATTCTTCATAGCAAACCGTTCATCCCCCTCAGCAAGAGATTAAAAATAAGGTCCCAGCCTCGAGCTTCAGCCTGCTTCAACAACGCAAAAAACATTAAGCTAAGAAATGAAAACCCTAGATTTCTTAAGACTCTTAAGTCCTTGCCATGTTGCTGCATGGAGGATGCGCACGTGTAAAGCAATGAGGCGTGAGCTCAACTGCGTCTATGGCTCGTGCCCCGAGCCAAGAAATCCTAACTTCTCAGCCAGGGTGTCCACGTCAGGGTCACACGTGGGCTCCGACACTGGCTCGAACCTCTCGCCAAAGAGCTCCGCCAGAAAGGAAGGATCGTCGTCATCGTCGAACCCGCACGGGCGCAGCAACGGTTCGATCCTCGAGCCGGAGCCGGAGCCCGAGCTTGACCCCTCCAACTCCTTCCTCTTCTTGGTCGTATCCTCTGCGGGGAGTACGGTCCTCTGGGGTTGGGCCGGAGAGGCGAGGTTTTGCATGAAAGTGGGGTGGCGCATGGCTCGGGCCAAGAAGTCAGTCATTTGGCGGTGACGGTGCTCGGTGTGCTCGAGTCGCTGAGAAAGGCCATTGAGGCGGACTAGAGAGGCGTGCTGCTGTTGGCGAAGGTGGACGAGCTCGATGGTCAGGAGTTCCTTGCCTTGGCGCAGGCGCTCGAGCTCAGTATCGAGCCCTGTTGCACCCACTTGTAGGTTCGAGGGCGCGCTGGTCTGGTGATAAGGATGAGATGGTTTTCTTCTTTTGATGGCTCTGAGGAGGTGTTTCTTGCCCTTGAGAAAGGCTTTGTTTGCAAACTCCCATCGGTCTGGATCTACCTTTCTAAAACTCTGCAGCGAGAGAAAAAGAATTGTGGCCCAAATCTATAGAGAGAATGAGTAAAACAAATAAATAACCAACGAGAAACAAACATAGATTGATTAGCTGTAGAGAAAACAAAAAAAATCCAAAAAACTTATTTGAAGAGAGAGGACTCACATAGGTATTGAGCTGGCGCACGAAGCTGGAGAAATTGCTGTGCTTGAAGTAATTGGGGAGGAGCAGAGACGCGAACACATTCGGATCCCAAACTACAAATGTGTTTCGATTGGGACCCCACGACACCACTGTATCAGTCGAAGGATCATCCACCATCTCATATGTCTTCGTCAAGAAAGCGGGTGGACCGACCTCGTTGAGCCCCTCCATGGGCCTGGGCACTATGGGCTCGGACCCACCCGCACCCATGGGTGCACCCTCCTCACCAGCACAATAGTACCAGCAAGAAGAGGAGGATCCTCCTCCCCATTCTTCCCCAAAATCGATCTCTTCATTCTCTTCTCTTTCCTCCTTCACTGAGCCCTGTTGATTCTCCATGCTTTCAAATTGCTTAATTTAGGACAATACTTGAAAGCGCACTGATTTCCCCACTCTCTCTCCTCCCCTTACAATTGAAACATGGCTCCCAATTTTGAATTGGGGTTGATACTTTTAGAGAGAGAATGCTCATCTAGGGGTTCCTGAGAGAGAAGGAAAATTCGAGGACTTGTGGAAAATTTTAGAGAGAGAGAGAGAGGGGAGGAAACAATTCGAGAAAATTGCGGTTTTATTGGGGTAAAAATCCACAGGTGAGCTCATACATAGGTGGATTTTGGAAGTAAGTGAAGGCATAGGAATGAAGAGGAAGAGGAAGGGGGGCAAAAGAAAGTAAAAGATATTTATCCTGGGAGCCAGCAAAAATAAATCGCAATTGATTTACAAAGGAAGCTGACAAAGTTTGAATCCTCTAAGACCAGGTTTAGAGAGAGAAATATTCTTCTTAATAGAGAGCAAGAAACAAGGAGGAGACACGCGTTAGAGAGAGAAACAGGAAATTGATCGATTTAAAAGGGCCGAGAAGGCAGGAGAAATGCGGTGAGGGCGAGCTTAAATAAGGTAAGGGGTGAATTGGAAAGTTGTAGAGCTATTGGATTGAAGTGCAGGTGCACATTAATTAATTTGGGTGACGATGAATGTGGGGGAACGCTAAGAACGTTCTCGATTCTCATGACATCTACTGTGTAAAGGGTGCTGTTTGTATAGGGCCAAAGCCCTAAACAATCAAATTAGAGCTCACCTTCAAATTGTGTCAAGAAATGCGATTTCAATACTCGAAATCATTGATTAGTATTAAAATATATTATCATCTCTAATTACAAATTTTGAAGTTTTAAAAAGATCTATGTAAACTTGAATAACTTAATAGTTGATTGTTCAAAAATATATTACAAGATGCATTATTTTCAAAACTTGAAATTCATTGTTTTCTCAAGTCTATACATCTTGATGTTGAGGTGATCAATTTGAAGATATTTGAGAACCAAAACAATCTCTTCTAGTAAAATTTTTGAAATGGGCTCAAGTTCGATTGTTTAGAGCCTAGGCTCTATACAAACTTTTCCCTTAGTGCAAAAATAACATAAGATAGAGAGCAATGGGAGCCGCCAAAACCAAAATGGGTCCACAAGCAGTTTGTACATTTGGATAATGAATATACAGCTAAGACTCGTACGATCTACTATACTTTCCTCGGCAATTCATCGGCCGCACGTCCTGCTATTGCTCTCCAAGTAACAATTACGTAAGCATTTAAAATTTATTATTATATAAATAAATAAATAAAATAAAAGATGGTATACAATGAGATCATTTACTTCTAAAATAGACTATCTATACAACTTATTTTCACCTCAATCTTTTCTCTCATCTTTTTTCTCAAACAACCTTACCTAGGCAAATAACCCCCTAACCCAAAAGTAGCATGAAATAAGGCTAAACTACCCTTGTTTGTTTTTACACGGTCTTCTTTCTCCTATTTTTACACACGCTCCGGTAGTACAAACACGTACTTCGGCATTCTGAATGTGCGCTCCGACAATGCAGGTCTAAGCCGCAGCACTTCGGCATTATGAGAACTCGTTCCGGTAGTGCAAAGACGCGCTCCGACAATGAAGTCTTTGGAGCCACAGCATAATGGAGGACCGCACTCCAGCAATATAAACAAGCGCTCCGGCATTCTGAATGTGTGCTCTGACATTGCAGGTCTGAGCCACAGCGCTCCGGCAATATGAGAACAGAATCCGGCAGTGCAAAGACACGCTCCGGCAGTACGCTATTGGGGACTCGTGAATTGATTTGGTTTGTACGAAATGGGCATTTCTTTCCAAAAATTAACCAGTTTTACCTTGGGGGTTTTTCGAGGAAAGGTCGTTTTGGGGGGGAAGTGAGAGAAAAGATTGGGGTGGGGTAAATTGCATAGATAGTCCATTTTAGGGTGTTTTTTGTAATTTTTCCTACCTTTAATATAGAGATATCACAATTACAACCATCCAATGTGAAATATGATAGCTTGAGAGTGTCATAAAGTTCAAAAAAATTTCTTTTGAACTTTGAGGTTGGTCAAAGAAATAAATGCAGCCATCCAATTTTACATGCAATGGTCAAGATTAATTGTGACCACCTTTTAACAAAAGTAAATGGTCTTATTTTATATTTATTTATTTTAAAAAAAAAGAATTATACCCTCTCTCACTTTTTTTTTTTTTTAATAAGAGCACGCATACTATGCTCTCTCTTGAAAGCATAGTTTACTTCTACTGTTGCAGTCAAAAGACCTACTTGTGATGGTTTTTTTAATCTAGAATTTTGAGAAACACTAAATAATTACTTAAAAAAAGGGTGTGGTTTGATGAGGTTGAGGCCCGCCTTTCAATTGTGTCAAAAGATGTTATTTCAGTACTGGAAATCTTTATGATGATTTGAAAATTTATTTTCATCTCTAATTATAATATTTAAAGCTTAAAAAATAGTGTTAATAGAGCAGATCCATGAACACTTAAAAATCATGACAATCGACGGTTTGGAAAATGCATTACAAGACACTATTTCCAATATCTGAAATTCATTTTTTTTATATGCATGCATCTTGAGGTTGAGATGATCAAATTGAGGGTTTTTTAGTATCGAAAGAACCTCTCCTACTAAACATTATAGATGTGCCTTAATTTGATTTTTTAGAGCCTCACCCTTATATAAAATTTTTCCTTTTAAAAAAATTTAAAATTTGAGTTTTCCAACACTCAGATCTCACAAACTAAAAATTGGATGGTCTATTTTCAATCTTAGGACATTATTATTTTTTTAGTGCATAGAGTGTACATTTATGATTTCTTTATTAAGGCTAATCTATGGGTTGAAGAGGTTACATCCCCAAAATTTGACGTCCTAAAATTAATTCTAGTTGGGGGTTTACCCCCGGGAATAAATGAATATTCTACTCTCCGGCCATTTCACAACTAATTGGGATCAGTTGCATGAATCATAGTATTCTATTCTAGTCTGTTAATGATTGTACCCTCATGGAAGCCATGAGTCCCCAAATCTTTTCTCACTACTTCCAACTATGTCCATTTAGGCTTACTCCTTGCCCATTTTTTGCCTTCCACTGAAACTAACTCGCACCTCCTAACATGTGCTATGATGGATTTGGCCCATACATGATTAGCCACTTAAGTCTACTTTATCTCATCTTATCGCCTATTGGCGCTACAATTATTCATTTCGAATTCTATTCCTTCTTGTCTTACGACTCATTTATATCAACATCATCATCTCAGCGGCTCATTCAATGGATATGTTGTAAAACAAAATTGATCTCATAGTTATCCTATAGATTTGCTCTTCCGCTTAATTGGTATGTGCGATCAGATAAAACTAAGATTGCACATACCACTTTGCCCCAGCTTTAATTTTATGTGTGACATCTTCTTCAGTCTCCCATTTTCTTGGATCATTAACCCAAGCTATCAAAAGTGTACTCTTTTTGGTATTTCTTGGTTGTTAATCTTAACTCTTTCATTGTCTTTACTCCTATTATTATTAAATTTGCATTCCATATGTTCTATCTTAGTCTGGCTAATTTTAAAATAATTAGATTCTAGAGTATCCATCCAAAATTCTAACTTTGTGGTGACATCGTTTAGGGTCTCATAAATCAAAACTATGTCATCGACAAACAACATACCCCATGGTACCTCATTTTGCAGGTGCCTAGTTGAGTTGTCTATAACTAAGATATGAAGGTATGGGCTCAATGCTGATCCCTGATATAGACCTATTGCCACTGACAACTCACTAGTTGGTCGTACACTAGTTAGCACTCTCGTGTACATATCTCTCACAAAATCAATGTAGTGTGTGGAGACTCTTTATTTTTTCATCACCCACCAAATCAAAGCTCTTGATAATAAAATTAGGGTTTTGTATTATTAGGCCATTAACTTTTGGCACAAGAAGATCACAATTACTTTAAGCCATGAATGTAAAGTCCAACACATTGAAATATGCGACAACAATTGAAAATTTTTATTTTAGACCTTGTGCCTAGCCAATGACATATCCCCAACAACTCAATTTCACATCTAATGGTCAATAATAATTGTGACTTACTTATATACCAATGCAAACTTATGTGCTATTTTATCTTACGCTTTATTTATGGCGTCGTCCTTAAACAACTTAAGCGCAGTTCATCTTCAAACTTTGTTAAAAGATGCAATTTTGATGTAAAAAATCGTTATAATGAAAATCTATTACTAAATCTAATTGTATAGAGTTCTAAAAATGATACAGATTGAGTAGATTTATAAACACTACAAAATCTTGAAGATAGGCATTTCGAATAACGTGTTAGAAGATAAACTATTTTTAGTATTTGAATATATATATATATATATATATATATATAGTAAGGTAAAAGTCTTCCCAACATCTATAGGTAAAAATGAACAGTGATTTCGCCTACTTTCATCATTGTACAAAATTCATTACACGGTCATGATTGTTCAGTAGTGTTTCATTTTTCATTTTTTTTCTACAAATCAGAATGATATGAAATTTGGAATGTATGTACATCTTAGTGAGATGCACTTAATAAAAATATAAAAAAAATAATTCGTGAAACAAAAGTTACCAAAATACCTCTGAAACTTTTCAGATGGACTTTTGAGATGCATTTTACTTTTATAAGCAAATAAATAAGTAAATATGATGTCTCTCCCCATCTACATTTTTGGGGTGGGTAAGATCTCTTTAGCGCCCGTAAATACATCCACTTAGAACTTCCCAAAAATTTTCTCTAGGTTGCTAAAACTTTGTCATTAAGGGTAGACCTTTAGGTGCGTCATGGTGCAATCCAATCTTTCCAAATTATCTTGGAGATGTCCTGGATCCAATTTTTCATGGTCTAACATCTCAACTACCATGAATCAGTAATCTGAATTAAAAAACAAATAAACAATAATAATGGAAAATAGTTTAAGTAAAGCCTTATTTTAAAAATTCATCAAAAATTACAATTCAAGCCTCAAAAAACTTTTAAATTGTTCATATCGGCTTGAGCATTATGGTTGTGAAAAATAATTGAGATGTTAAGCTCTAAAGTTGTGTATATTGTAATAAATTATTTAGATCGTCTATTTCACCCTAAAAATAAGTGTTCA